AATATGATTGATGATTTTGTTAATATTAATTTGGTTATTTATATTTGAAATTTCATAGTGTTGTAGAAAAATATGATAAGAGAGAGCATGCATTATTTAGGTATCACATTTTGTTGAAATTGTCAATACCTTTCTGGATCAGTGATGCCACAGTCCTTAAAACTCTTTAAGGACCAGAGTTTTGGTCGCAAAATCTTGTACCAACCAGTTATGATTGTCTTGAGATGTGGTATTAAGGACGAGAAATGTAGTCCCTAAAAGTTAATAAGGACCAGAACAGTGCCAGTCGTAAAATCATTTATGGACCTGTACTTCAGTCTCGGCCCTATTGATCGTTAGTGACGGAGCCAGTTTGTACGGGTATTTCCTGTCACTATCAACTTTTTGGGACCAGAAAGAGATTATTAGGGACCATATTTCTCGTCCCTAATAGCCTTTTTTCTTGTAGTGCAAATAAATTTTACGCTTATCAAGATGCATCATTCACTTTTTACTTGATAATTATTTCTACACCAACATGCTTTAATAGATGTAAAATTCATATTCCTATAATCAATATTGAACTATATTGTACCAAAGATATCGTCGACGAACTATTACTTTGTATTGGTTCACAATAAGACATAACTAATTGAGATCTCATTACTTCATTATTTTAAAGTATGTACCCCTCTCATGAGGTTTCATGAAGTGTTATGTTGTAAGCTCTTCAACAACACATTGATTCTTTATTATGATCATTTTGATTCTTTGATCCTCTCCCTTTTTCAATGATTATTTTATTGAGATTCGATTATTCCATCATATTTCATGCATCTCATAGACTCTTATCTTTAAAGGACATTCAATAGGAGTATTTACAACTCTTGTGTTGCTTCTAATCTCCTTCTTATGTTAGACAAACTAACATATATCTCAATCTTTTGGAGAATCTATCTTTGTGCACAATTGTATATTCATTGATTATATACTACATATTAAAATAATCAGACGAAAGATATTTGGTCCCTGATCATAAATCAATTGAAAGAAATTTGATCATAATTTATTGGTCTGATGCGTACAATTACTTTTGTATGTGGTATCATATTTCAGATCAACACATGGAGCTTTATTTTCTCACGCAATGATTTCACTATCTCAAATATTTAATGTCACAACATCTTGAGTATTTATCGATGTTATCAAGATAAATTGTTTTAATTACATATTCAGAAAGTTGTGCTCTTAACTCAAATTATCTTGCACAAACAATTTTACAAATGCCAAACTACAGTTTGACAACAAACAGATATGTGATTATATTATAGATGCATCTTTTTTATCATGTCACATGATAGGTGAACAAACCCATATTATTAACCTTTAATACTTTCCTAACTTTGGTTGATCCAATCAACTTATCACTAGAACAAGCGACGTAAAGACTTTTTAAATAATCTTCTGATTTTACAATGTTTGTCTATTACTCAGTGTGTACATCTTTGAGATGATCAAATTATTCATGCAAACTAAAAAAATTAGTAGTATTTGTTAACTCAAAGTTTACTATGACATGTGCCTTGTGCATTAGTAAATTCCTGTCATGCCCCGAGCCTACACCCTAGACGTGACCGGCACCCAAAGACCATTTGCCTTGAGAGACCACTTGGCATGACTTACTTAACTCAACAAAAGACTTAACATAAAATATAACTTTAAAATAGTACTTAGCCAAAATGGAAACTTCAAGACTTTACAATTGAAATGAAAGACCAAAAAAAACTAACATTGTGTATCTATGAAGCCACTAAAATAATGATGGATGTTGAGACAGGACCCCCAATCATCCTAATAATTGAAAAAAAAATCAAATAACTAAATGATAAGGATATCCCGAAATGAAGTGAGGCTCACCAACTGACTCTAAGCTACTCACTAGATCAACGGCACGCCAAATGTTGATCCTAGTTATCTAAATCTGCATCATAATACGATGCAGGCCAACTAGCATCAATACATTGAATGTACGAGTATGCAAGTTGGAATGCTAACAACACTTAAGCTTGAAAAAAGAGTAAGAAGGAACACTTACCTTGGCTAAGCGCAACTCATGAATAACTTAACTCATTCAATATAATGCAATTTAAAAATAAGTGCAATATAAAGAAAACTGTTTGAAATATGTTGAAATTTCTGAATGTATGCAAGATACAATTAAATTTGGTATGTATTTAAAAAAACAATAAAACTGATGCATATAAGAATACTATTAGTATTGTGGGAGTTTCTCTAACCGACAATGATCACTTAAGAGATACATTGATGATACAACAATCTACCTCACGCTACCAGCGCATCCTATACCCGACCAAAATATAAGATCTGAACTAGTTAATGGATCCACTAGTGTACTATGAAAAGACTTCATCTTAGTGTATGAACTTTTTCTACCCATGGTGGCTACATGGATTATGGGGGCTGTGAGTTGTCTGAAGTCTCCCCCATATCGGTGCTTATGACTACTCCCAAAATATGGTGAATTTTATATTTTAAAAACATACTGATTTTGTATTTGATATTAGTGCTCAAAATACTTAGCTCAAAGGATATCTTGGAAATCTTAGTTTCCCTGCTTGTTTCTTATAGAAAGCTATAAATGTTTTTTGAAAACAAGACCTAAGGCTCCTTGTAAATAAAAGTTTCCTTACTTGTTTAAGTGTGGAAACATTTTAAAGTCTCTGTGGGAATACATAATCCCCATATACCTTTGAAGAAAAGAACTTCAACTTAACTAGCTTGAAACGTGAGTCTTAAAAATAAGATTTCAATGTTTAAATAAGACTCTTGAAAACCTTTAAGAACTTTACTTTGCCTTACTTCTTAACATTAGACTTGACTCTTAACTTTTTTGACTTTGATCTTAACTTTCTATGGATTGAATTATGGATTCATGGTTATGTTTTGAGTTCTTTAATAAAGTAATTAAAATCACTCGAAGGTGTTAATGTACCTCGGAAGGACTTAAAAGGACTAAAATACGAAAAATACCGGGTTGGGCATACCGGTGGCGCGTCTAGCAGCCTCAGTTGACTGAGGCTTGGTTCTGGCACACTGGTGGCATGCCTGCTGGCCTCTATTGACTAAGGCCAACTTCTGGCGTGATGCACCTGGCTTTCCCAGGTGCATCTCACGGATATTTGCACTCATTTTCAAATCCCAAAATGCCTAAGACGTAATAATTCTATCCCCAAACCCTTAGAATCATCAATACTATCAATGCCCAACATATCTAACTCAACAACAACATTGAAAACTACTAATCAACAAGATTTATCAAGAACTCACTTCAACTCATATGAACAATTTTAAAACTACAAAAATGAAGTAATATTGATGTGTGGATGAATTAATCCAACATGAAAGATATCCCATACCTCCATAGGGATCACCCGCGATGAATTCCACTAGAATATATTGGCGTTCTTGGTGAAATCTCGTTCTTCCTCCCTTCTTCTTCTTCTCTTGTCTTTTCTCCCAAGCCCTAAGCGTGAAAATACTGTTTATAATCTGACCAAAACCTATTTTTACCATAATTAAATCCTTAAAATGATTTAGGAAATAAATGAGTAAAAAGACTACTTTGCCCTTACTATAAATCGAATTGGACTTTTTTGATCCAACAACCTAACTTTCAAAAGGCATATATGCCTCAAACGATATCAAAATCCGGAAAACTCAGTACCTTTGAAAAGACCTCTCCAAGGGAGTTCCAACCATATAAAGAACTGGCTCTAATTCATCCTAAGTTAGAAGTTATCACAGTTTAAAAATGATCAAAACTCACTTTCTTAATTTATGAAATTTCCAGATTTTTTCTGTTCTTTCCAAAAGTAATTATTTTGGTCTTCTTAACTTATTATTAGCTAATTCGAGTTACGAATTGTTACAATATCTCCCCCTTGGGAACATTCGTCCTCGAATGACATTTCTTTGACTAAGTTACGGATAGTAACA